GTTGACGAGGTTCCCCCGCCTGGGGCGAACATCGTCAGTGGCATGTGGATTTTCAGGGTGAAGCGGCCGCCGGGTTCTCCGCCTGTCTTCAAGGCGCGTTACGTGGCTCGTGGCTTCAGTCAGCGGCAGGGAGTTGACTACTTTCAGACCTTCTCTCCCACCCCGAAGATGACCACTCTTCGGGTACTGCTGCACATAGCTGCTCACCGCGACTACGAGCTGCACTCTCTTGACTTCAGCACTGCTTTCTTGCAGGGCAGCCTGCACGAGGAGATCTGGCTGCGTCGCCCACCTGGCTTCACTGGGTCTTTTCCTCCTGGCACCCAGTGGAGCCTCCGGCGGCCAGTCTACGGTCTCCGCCAGGCACCGCGTGAGTGGCACGACACACTGAGGACTACACTTGCGGCTCTTGGGTTTTCTCCCTCTACTGCCGACCCGTCGCTGTTTCTGCGCACCGACACTTCTTTGCCGCCGTTCTACATCCTCGTGTACGTCGACGACTTGTTCTTCGCCACAGCTGACACTGCTGGACTCGCCTACGTGAAGTCCGAGCTGCAGAAGAGACACACGTGCACAGACCTGGGTGAACTGCGCAGCTACCTTGGCTTGCAGATCACCCAGGACAGAGCACGCCGCACCATTACCCTGACTCAGTCACACATGGTGCAGCAGGTCCTTCAGCGCTTCGGCTTCACGTACTCCTCGCCTCAGGCCACTCCTCTGCCTACTCGCCACTCGCTCTCAGCTCTGCCTTCGGATGAGTCCGTAGAGTCGAGTGGCCCGTACCCAGAGCTTGTTGGCTGCCTCATGTACCTGATGACCTGCACACGACCTGACCTTGCGTACCCTCTTAGCATTCTTGCACGCTATGTTGCTCCTGGGAGACACAGACCGGAGTACATGGCTGCAGCGAAGAGGGTGTTGCGCTACTTGTGCAGTACGTCGGGCATGGGGCTTGTGCTTGGAGGGCAGAGTCCAGTGGTCCTCACTGGGCACGCAGACGCTTCTTGGGCTGACGACCAGGCTACGCAGCGGTCGTCACAGGGTTACACCTTCAGCCTTGGTTCCGGCTCTGTTTCGTGGCGGGCTACCCGCTCGTCTTCTGTTCTCGGCTCCAGTTGTGAGGCTGAGATCTACGCTGGGGCCATGGCTGCACAGGAGCTTCGCTGGCTCACCTACCTGCTGACTGACCTCGGAGAGCCGCCTCGTTCTCCTCCAGTGCTGTACGTAGACAACAAGGCCATGCTGGCCTTGTGTCGAGAGCAGAGACTGGAGCACAGAACGAAGCACATTGCTCTCCGCTACTTCCTTGCTCGTGAGCTACAGCAGCGTGGTCAGCTGCGGCTTGCGTACGTGGCCTCTGAGGCCAACACTGCTGATATCTTCACCAAGGCACTTGCGCCTTGTGATCATCAGCGCTTCTGTACTCAGCTTGGTCTTGTGCCTACCTTGCCTCACTTGCTCACCCCTTGACCTTGTTTGTACTGTTGCATATATATATACACCTGCTCTTGCTTGTCTAGTCTTATATAGATATATATGTAATCCTGCATGTGAACTGGCCTTGTGGCCTTGAACTTGTGCTCGGAATGTGTGGTGACTTTGTGATCCACCCTGAGCTTGTTTTGCTTTGCTCGACTGGTCTTGTGACCCCTTGTTCTCCCCCACTTTGCCTATGGGGGTGTGTCAGATTTATATGACATAGCTACTGTAGGCTATAGTGGGGTAGCACATATAGGGTACAGTTTTCTAGGGTTTGCTTTTTGTACCCAACTTTCACTTAGTCATTTCATTCCTGTTTTCTTTATTCACAATCGGGCCGGGCGCGGGCTAGGTACGGGGCCGGGCGTGGGCTAGGTACGGGGCCGAGCGCGGGCTAGGTACGGGCAGCGCGGGCTAGGTACGGGCCGGTCGCGGGCTAGGTGCAGGGCCGGGCGCGGGCTAGGTACGGGGCCGGGCGCTGTGCGAGGGACGGGGCCGAGCTCTGGGCGAGGGACGGGCCGGGCACGGGCTAGGTACGGGCCGGGCGCGGGCTAGGTACGGGGCCGAGCGCGGGCTAGGTACGGGCCGGTCGCGGGCTAGGTACGGGTCAGGCGCGGGCTAGGTATGGGTCAGGCGCGGGTGGGTACGGGCCGGGTGCAGGCTAGGTACGGGCCGGACGCGGGCTAGGTACGGGCTGGGCGCGGGCGAGAGACGGTGCCGGGTGCGGGCTAGGTACGGGCCGGGCGCAGGCTTGGTACGGGCCGGGCGCGGGCGAGAGACGGGGCCGGGCGCGGGCTAGGTACGGGCCGGTCGCGGGCTAGGTACGGGCCGGTCGCGGGCTAGGAACGGGCCGGTCGCGGGCTAGGTACGGGCCGGTCGCGGGCTAGGTACGGGCCGGGCGCGGGCGTGAGACGAGGCCAGGCGCGGGCTAGGTACGGGCCGGGCGCGGGCTACGTACGGGCCGGTCGCAGGCTAGGTACGGGCCGGGCGCGGGCTAGGTACGGGCCTGTCGCGGGCTAGGTACGGGCTAGTCGCGGGCTATGTACGGGCCGGTCGCGGGCTAGGTACGGGCTGGGCGCGGGCGTGAAACGAGGCCGGGCGCGGGCTAGGTACGGGCCAGGTGCAGGCTAGGAGCCGACGAGCCGCGAAGGCTAGGAGCGACGGGCCTAGGGGGGGGGGTAACTCGCAGCGTAGCAGGTGGTGGGCCCAAGGAACCTGCTCTGATTCCATGTGAAAGTAATGAACGAGGGATGAATAAACTATGAAACAGTTGGGTACAAGTACTAACCCTAATTGGGTTGTATCCCTTATGGGCTACCCCACTATAGCCTACACAAATGTATAAGCTATAATGTTCTGACTGTCGCCACGTGGATTTTCTCATCCGTTGGACTGACCGCACCAGTGAAGACGACACGTGGGTGTCATCCGCCTCGCTTGAAGACTCTCCGCTTATTGGTGATTATCTCGCCCGCAAGCGAGCTGCGGATATTGACCACCTTTCTTATGGTGGGGGTAGTGTAAGGAATTTTCCCGAATTCCTTATCGGGGTTGACTGCTTCGCGTACAGCCCCGATTTTCAGACTCTGCACGTTTGGCTGACATCAACGATGCCGAGGGTCCTCGCGTCGCCTTCGGCGTTTCACTTCGCCAAACCTGCACCTAACCTCGCTCACCCGAGGTTCCCTCCTAGCTAGGCTATCCACTACATTAGCGTGTGCCTTCATTGTATGCCACGTCTCTTGAATCACAATCTCGTTATTCGTCAATCTGCGCACTCTCCTTTACAACTCATAACAGTGTGCAGACTTTTGTAACGCGTATGCACTTTCCCTAATTACATCCCCTTTTTTTTCAGTGATGTATTACATTTGCATTCGTACATCGTCAGTTGTAACTAAACTCTTGGATACAATGATGAGGTAGAGTTTAATGAAACATACATATATATATGTGTGTGTGTGTGTGTATGTGTGTGTGTGTGTGTATGTGTGTGTGTGTGTGTTTAAATAGCATCAATACCTCTCCATGCAGCATTATATTCATATGATGTTCTTATCTCTCCAAATAAATACTTGTTGACTGTATCGCTTAACAGAGCGCGCTTTATAAATGGAGAAAACTCTAGAGTCCACGACACGACCAGCTTGCGAAAACGACGCCGTCAGACTATCATCATTTCGAGGACAACCGTCCGTCTTCGCAGCGACGCGCATTACATCTCAGGAGGAACCATCGAATCTGTCCGTCCCGCCGTAGCTGGAGAATAGGGAGTTGCTGACCTAGATAGGGAGCTGCTTCCGTATCGTATCGTATCGTATCAAGGAGATCGTATCATCCGCCTTCCCCACGTGACATGATCTCCTTGACTTTCCTTCTCGGGAATTCCGCCTCCCCGCATTCCGCCTTGCCCTTCCGCGGCCACTCCTCCCCGCTCGCCCTCCCGCTCCGCTCTCCCCCGCCCGCATTCTTCCGTCGCCGCTGCAAAACACTCCGAATTCGCGAACTCCGACGCTGCGAAGACAACCGAAGGGTGGTAACAGTAACAGGGTCGTTCGGGGGAAACCGGGGAGCAGGGGACGGGGGGAGCGTGCGGAGGGGTGACGGGCGCGGCGGGGATCATGCGCGGCGGCGGGAATGGCGCGGGGATCAGACAGAGCGGTACGAGGGAAGAGTCCGCGAAATGGGAGGGGGGAGAAGATGGGGGGGGTGGGGGAGGGGAGGGGAGAGGGGAGAGGAGAGGTGAGAGGAGAGGGGATCGAAGGGGACCGGAGGGGAGGCGGAAGTGGGGGAACTGATGACGAGGAGCGGGAATCATGGCGCCCCGGAAGGGCGCGGCGGACTGAGGCCAGTCCATCGCGTTTGTTGGACACTTATTCCGACCGCGATTTACGGAATTCAGGGGATTTACGCGACTCACGCTATTCACAGGATGAGGTTTCATCGCGTTTCTCCTCGTCGCGGCGCCCGCCCGTCGGTAATCGAGCGAGCGCGGACGGCTGGGGGGACTACCGCGCGGTGGAACCCATCGGCGCAGCCTCGATGAGCGCAGGGGGCCCTAGCGGAGCCCCGCGATCGGCTGGCGCGCGGGCAACTAGCGGAGCAACGGGGACCGCCGGCGGAAACCGGCATCGGCGGAACGGGGAGGGGCGCAGCTCCGGGGAAGACTCCGCCGAAACACCCGCTGGCGCGGCGGCTGCGCGGGAAGAAAACCGAAGAAACCCTCGCAAAGGAGATTGGCGTGGTGATGGTTCAGCTGGGAAAGCTGGAGGCGGGCGGGGAGCGGAAGGTACGGCACGTGCTGCGGAAATACGCCAAGTGCTTCGGCCCGGAGTGCGTTCTTGGTGCTCTGAACGAGCTCATGCGGCGGAACGACGTGGACCGTACGATCGAGGCGTTTGAGTGCATCCGGACCGCTCACTGGTTCGAGCCGGATCCAATGCTTTATGCGCGGATGATTGAGGTGCTGGCGCGGAACTCGCGCACAGACACTGCTGCTGCGCTCTTCGCCTCCATGGATGGGGGACCCGCTGTGCCCCTCACTGGCGGAATGGCCATGCTCGTGGGCGCAGGGGGGGGTGGGGGGAGCGGTGGGGGAGGGGCTGGGAGGGGGTGGTGTGAGGGAGGATGTGAGGGAGGGTGTGAGGGGGAATAGGTGGGAGTCTGGCAGTGATGACGATGATTCCAGTGGTGATGACGTGGATGGGTCGGATGATGAGCTGGCACCAGGCCTGGGGTATGATGACGAGGATGAGGATGATCCGGATGGGGATCGGTGGGGCACGAGCAAGGGACGGCGGAGGCGACTCAAGAAGAAAGCTGCTGCTGCTGCCACTGCAGGTGGAAGAAGCAGAGGAGGGAGAGGAACAGGAGAAGGCGCAGGAGGAGCAGGAGGAGCAGGAGGAGCAGGAGGAGACACATCAGCGGCAGCAGCGTTGGCGCGGCTGCCTCGTGTGAAACCATGTGTGCGCACGCCCTCAGTGTATGCAGCGATGATCGAGGCGTACGGTCGCCGCCACCAGGCCACGGCTGCCCTCGCACTGCTGCACCAGATGAAGGCCACTCCTGGTTCTGCACCTGATGCTGCGGCCTATGGGTGAGTGAGCTTGTTTTCTCATGTGACCTTCATTCATTCACAGTAAGTGACCCACTCATCATACATATCCGGCTGCCCTCGCACTGCTGCACCAGATGAAGGCCACTCCTGGTTGTGCACCTGACGCGGCAGCTTATGGGTGAGTCGGTTTGTGTGCCCACTCCTCCACGGGCATATGGGTGAGCTTCTTCTTCTTTCATGTGAGATTCATTCACAATGATTGATCATTCACTTGTAGATATACAGCTGTCCGCGCCCTGCTGCACCAGAAAAAGACCGCCCTGGTTGTGCTCCTCACGCTGCAGCGTGTGGTTGAGTGAGTGAGGTTCTTCACTCCTGTGCGCCGCGTCACTTTCACAGTGAGCGTTTCTGAGTTGTATTTAGGGTACAACAGCAGACATGAGCAAATGCCCTGGTCGGTTCTTGTCGACCCGACCCGACGCTGATTTTTGCCAGGTCGGTTCACAGATGCGACGCATGTGAAGGGGTCTCGGGTCAGCCCGTAGGGCTTGGGTTGGGTTTACCCAAATTCTTGTTTTATGTCCGGTATTATTAAGTGCGTCCGTGCGTGCGTGCGTTCGCACGAGCGTAGGGCGTTGTGTGATATCACATCAATTCCACACCGACCTGTGTGCGCCCAATGCTGCCGTCTATGCAATGTGATGCCATGCCAATGCCATGCCAATGCCATGCCAATGCCATGCCAATGCCATGCCAATGCCATGCCAATGCCTGCCAATGCCATGCCAATGCCATGCCGTGACATGCCATGCCGAGGAGGACCCCATTCCCCCTCCCTATTCCAGGTCTGGCAGTGAAGGCGCTGTGTTTGGTAAGGCGCACAACAGAAGCAGAGGACCTGCTGGCAGACATGGCGCACAGGGCCGTGCTGCCAGACGCCACGCCCTTTAACAACCCCAATCTTCCGTTGCCCCTTTGCCCCCCTCCCACCTGCTTCACCACCTCTGACTGACTTCCCAGGTCGGCAGTGAAAGCTCTCTGTCTGGTAGGGCGCACAACAGAAGCTGAAGACCTCCTAGCAGTCATGACACACAGGGGCGTGCTACCAGACTCCACGCCCTTCAGCGGCCCTCGCATTTCCCCCTTTCCCCTGCTGCACCACCCTGTTCCCAGATCGGCAGTGAAGGCCCTCTGTCTGGTGCCGAACCTGGGAGGCAGAGGGCCTGCTGCTGGCAGACATGGCGCACAGGGCCGTGCTACCAGACTCCACGCCCTTTAACGCCCCCCTCTTTCTCGCCCTCCCCTTGCTTCACCCACGCGTGGATATTCCCAGGTCGGCAGTGAAGGCACTATGCCTGGTAGGCCGCACCACGGAGGCAGAGGATCTTCTAGCGGACATGGCGCACAGGGGCGTGCTGCCTGACGCCACTCCCTTCAACGCCCTGATTGACGCGTACGGGGGTGCGGGGCAGCTGCAGCTGATGCGAGACAAGTTCTTGAACTCACCAGCGTGGGGTTGAGGCCAGACCGTGCGCACGTTCAATGGACTCATCCGAGGTTTCGGCAGGTGAGGGGTGGTTGAGAGGGATTGACTGAGAGGGGGTGTTGAGAGACACGTGTGTGTGGGCGGGCATAGGAGGGGGATAGTGCGGGGCAGCTGCAGCTGATGCGAGACAAGCTCTTTGGGCTCACCAGCGTGGGGCTCGGGCCAGACGTGCGCACGTTCAATGGCCTCATTAGGGGTTTCGGCAGGTGAGGGTTGGGTGAGAGCGATTGATTGTGATGGGGTGCTGAAACACACGTGTGTGGTGTGAACACGTGGGGGGGAGGGGGGCAGGTGCAGCTGATGCGAGACAAGTTCTTTGAACTCACCAGCGTGGACACAAACCCGATGCGCGCACTTTCAATGGGCTCATCCGAGGCTTCGGCAGGTAAGGGGTGGGTGAGAGGGATTGCTTGCGACAGGGTGGGTGCTAATACTTGAGTGTGTAATCACTCGTACGGGGTGCCGGGCAGCTGCAACTGATGTGTCGTCAGGGGCCTTGGCATATGAGGGGGGATGAGACAGAGATGTGAGAGAGAAAGAGGTGATGTACTGGGCGTGATAGGCGGTGGGGCAGGTGCAGGGAATCTGGGGCACGCTCCTTGAGGTGACAATTATTTTAGAAGCTCCTCATGTATCCATTGCCTTTCTTTCCCACACACTGTGGGCCGAGTTGGTTTTTTGAGTCGACTAAAACCCCAGCTCAAACGCTGCACGCATGGCAGCTTGTGAAACGCTGAGAGACGCCAGCATCAGTGCACAGCTTGGCTGCCTCTTCCTCATGTGTGCATCGCCCCTCTTTCCCACACACACGGTGGGCCTGCCAACACAGACAGAGGCAGCGCGACGCATATATCATCTTCTGAGTCAACACAAAAGTCGGCAGTTCTTGTTTCACTTATGAGAATTGCAGATGGGGTACCGTGCAGTGCCCAGCGGGCCACCTCTTCAGGTTCCCTGTGCACTTTCCTGTGCCCGGCCACCTAGCAAGTCTATTATCAGAGATGGAGGCGGTGTTTGAGAACGTGCGGATGGGGTACCGCACAGCGCCCAATTGCACACCTTTGCTGCTTCTTGTGCCTTAGTTGTACATCTCTCCCTGTACTTGTGACCATCTCTCTTCCTCCTCCCACACCCAGAGCCGGTCTGTTGTCAAGAGATTACAAGCAGTGTTTGAGAACATGCAGATGGGGTAACCAAGCACAGCACCCAACGTAACATACATTCCTACGCCATCAATGGATGCCTATGGCGCCACACCGCTCCGATTTCTGCACCGCCAAGACAGCAAGGGAACCTGAGTGTGTTTGAGTTGCAGCATGAAGCCGCTCAGAAGACAGCCGCAGCAGGAGCGGGAGGAGGAGGAGCAGACGGGGAGGACGGGAAGGGGAGGCAGCAGGAGTCCTGCCAAGCCGAGGCGGAGGGGAGCGGGAGGGGGAGGTTTAGGGAGGTCTGAGAGGAGGGGAGGGGATGCTGATGCTGATGCAGCGGAGGGGCAGCAGGGGGGGAGGCAGCGGAGTGCAGAGCGCAGGCGGGGTGGTGTTTGATCGCATGCAGCGCACGCTTGCTGCATCTGGTGAAGATGCGCTAAGACCCGCCTGCATGCCGAGTCGTTCGACCTGCCTCTCAAGTACTGGCTCAGGTGATTCTCTGCTGCCCTCGAACCTGGCTGAAGTGTGAGCCTCTGCTGGTTCGGTACCTGGCTCGGCACACTGCTGTGGTTGCCAAGGTCGTGGTGCCTCCACGCCAAGCCTAACCTTGCAGTCCGCTCAGCACACTGCTGCTCCGCTCCTATCCTTCAACGTCACAAAGTGTATTTCGCCTCACGTGCACCACTGCAGGCGGCATGGTGGAGGAGATGGAGAAGGTGTTTCGGCTGATGAGAGCCACGGCGTGCGCCTCACACCCACCACCTTCCCTCTGTCTTTCTTGGCCTCTCCCTTTTCCTCTCCACTTCCATGCATACTTTCTACTGCAGGCCGGTATGGTGGAGGAGATGGAGAAGGTGTTTCGGCTGATGAGAGCCATCGGCGTGCGCCTCACACCCACCACCTTCCCTCCGTCTTTCTTGGCCTCTCCCTTTTCCTCTCCACTTCCATGCATACTTTCTACTGCAGGCCGGTATGGTGGAGGAGATGGAGAAGGTGTTTCGGCTGATGAGAGCATCGGTGTGCGCCCCAACACCCACCACCTTCCCTCCCTCTTTCCTGGCCTCGTCCCTTTTCCTCTCACTTCCATGGATACTTTCTACTGCAGGCCGGTATGGTGGAGGAGATGGGAGAAGGTGTTTCGGCTGATGAGAGCCATCGCGTGCGCCTCACACCCACCACCTTCCCTCCCTCTTTCCTGGCCTCTCCCTTTTCCTCTCCACTTCCATGGATACCTTTCTACTGCAGGCCGGATATGGGTGGCGGAGATGGAGAAGGTGTTTTCGGCTGATGAGAGCCATCGGCGTGCCGCCTCACACCCACCACCTTCCCTCCCTCTTTCCTGGCCTCATCCCTTTTCCTCTCCACTTCCATGGATACGTTCTACTGCAGGCCGGTATGGTGGAGGAGATGGAGAAGGTGTTTCGGCTGATGAGAGCCATCGGCGTGCGCCTCACACCCCACCACCTTCCTCCGTCTTTCTTGGCCTCATCCCTTTTCCTCTCCACTTCCATGCATACTTTCTACTGCAGGCCGGTATGGTGGAGGAGATGGAGAAGGTGTTTTCGGCTCATGAGGGCAATCGGCGTGCGCCCCACACCCACCAACCTTCACCCTTCTCGCTGACGCCTACAGCGCCGCCGGGCAGCCCAAACAAATCCTGCGCCTGCTCAAGCAGATGCAGTCCATGCCCCTTGCTACCCGAAAAAGAAAAAACAATTCTGCTCTTAAACAGCAGCAGCAGCAAGCAAGCAGCAGCAGTGGCAGTGGTGATTCTTCCAGTGCACGCAGCAGGCTGCTTGCAGCGGCAGCAGTGGCATTCGCCTCAGCTGTGGAGATCAAGGAGATGGAGTGGTGCCTGCTGCTCCTCCACCCTCTCACCACCACCCCTTCCTCCGGCCCCACTCTCTCCTCCCCCTCCTCTACCTCCTCTCCCTCCACCTCTCCCGCCTCCTCTCCTCTTCCTCGTCCCGCTCCACCTCCTCGGCCTCATCCTTCCCCCTGCCACCTGGCCGATCCGCGCGGCTGCAAGCATGGGTGGGGGCGGGGGGCGGAGGCGTGGGGGTGGTGTCGGCAGCAGTGGAGGCATAACGCGCGTGCAGGCATGCTCTCTCACATGGAGGCTCTATTCATGGGGGGCTCAGGGCATGGGATGGGTGCATGGGGGGATTGGGGATGGGTGCAGGTGGCATGGGATTCGATGCCCGTGGCATGGGGATGGGTGCGATGGGGGCAAGGTGAGAGCATGGGAATGGCTGCGGCAGGAGATGGGATGGGTGCAGGAAGGATGGGGGCAGGTGCATGGGTGGGAGTGAATTCGGCTTGGGGGGAGAGGGGCGGTGGAGGGCATTGGAGGTGGGAGGATGGGGGGAATGGGGGGCATGGTGGGGGAATAGGGGGACGGATGATGGGGGGAGGGGACGATTGCAGGAGAGACCATGGGGAGAAGAACCATGGGTGGGGGGATGATGGTGGAAGGGCGGATATGGGGAGGGAGGGAGGGGAGGTCATGGGAGGGGAATGGAGGGGGATCAAGGGGATGGGTAGAGGGGCCTGGTGGAAACAGGGATGGCGGTAGCTGGGAGGAGGTTGAGTACGGTGCTAATGGTAGCTAGGGCCTTGGTGGTGATAGGTCGAGGTACGGAGGCGAGGTTATGAGGGTGATGGGTATGGTGGCGTGGTGAGAAGCTATCAGGGCTATCAGGGTCTTTCCTCATTCCCCTCCCCTCCCTCATCCAGTTCACATCACCACCCCGCGGCCGCCACCGGCTCGTTTTGTCCTCATCTGCATGCAACGCCATGGCTGAAGCTTATGCTGCAGTGGCCTCCCCGGGCGGCGTGAGGCGAGTCATGGCTTATATGCTTCGGCATGGAGTGGCCCGCAACGAGACGACCATCGCCGCCCTCCTCTCTGCCTGCGCAGCTGCTGCTGACGTGGCGGGGATGGAGGCGGCTCTGCAGCGGGCGGTGCGACGTGGCATGCTGGAAACAACTCCAGCTGGCGCCTACGTGGCACCAGGCGGAGCAGTCCGGAGCCTGCCAGCTGGCGCTTATGTGGCAGCAGCGCAGGCGTTTGGAACTGCAGGGAAGGTGGGAAGGATGAGGGAGATGCTGGGAATCGCACGGCAAGTGGGGCAGGCGGGGCAGGTGGGGCAGGTGGGGCAGGTGGGGGAGGCGGGAGTTGTGCAAAGTCACTTAGGGAATGATTCTGGTGGTGGAAAGGGAATGAGAGTGGGTGAGAGTAGGAGCGGATCTGAATTGGGTGGTATTGGAGGTGGGATGGGAGGAAGGGGGGAGTGGTTCCTGGATGGAGAGAAACGACCGTGGGCAGCTGCAGAGGAGGTTGAGAGGGAGTGCTATTTGACTGCCATCGACGCTTTTCTTGCCTCTGCTGATAACGATGACGATGCTGGTGATAGCTGCAGTGGTGGTTTGGCCGACACTTGGAGAAAGAGAGAGGGAGAAGGGGGAGCAGCCGGCAACAGATGGTCCGAAGCTGACTCACCAGCAGCAGCTTCGGCGATAGGTTCGGCAGCCGGGGCAACCGAGGAGCCACCAGCTTTGGGGCGAGCGGAGGCGCTATTGGAGGAAATGCATGGGCGGGGGATGTGTGCTGACATGGCGACGTACAGTGCTGTGCTGGCAGCGAGGGGGCATGGGGCGGTGGTGGAGGGGGCAGCAGAGGAGGTGCTTGAGGTGGAGGCGTGGGGGATGAGTGAGGGGGCCGTGTGCGCTGCTGCCCTGCTCTTGCTGCTGGCACAGGCACAAGCACAAGCACAAGCACGGGCAGAGACAGACAGAAAGAATACCCCAACACAAGTGGAATGTATGTCATCTGATGCTACTGCTGCTCCTGCTTCTGCTCTGCCTACTGCTACTGCTGCGACGGCCTCTGCAGCATCAGCAGAATCCCACCTGCTGCTTCACTGGCTCTGCTCCCTACAGGCTGGTCGCTTCCGCCCTCTCGTTTGCTTCCTGGGCCTGTCGCCGGTAGAGGGTGGGATGACACGGGACTTGACGCTGGATGGAGGCTTGGAGAGCAGAGGAGTAACTTTTGAGCTGACTCAAAAGTCGCTGGAGGGAGGCTTGGAGAGCAGAGGAGTGGGGCAGCAAGAGGTGGTTGGGAGATTTGGCTCGCAGGGCAGTGGAGAGGAGCGGCGGCAACAGCTGACAGGATCTGATGCTTCATCAGCACAAGAGAAGGCTCTGTTCCACGACTTAAGGAAGCTTCTTCGAAGCGTCCAAGGCAGTGCCCACCCTGCTTCCCTGCGCCCTCTGTTTGCCTCTCTTGCCGCAGCTCTCTGCAGGTTTGGCAGGCTTCGCCGAGCCTGTTTGGTCCTGGAAGAGGCTCGGAGATTTGGAACATATCCAACACCGCCGAGCCTACCTGTGCCGAGCCTGGCTGGCCCGGTTTGGTCGCTGGACCTGCACTTGTACCGAGGTCCGGTGGCAGTGCTTGCACTGGCAGTGTGGCTGGAGGAGCTCTGCTGGAAGATTTCCAAAGCTGAAAAGGAGGCTCGGGATGGTTTAGTGGGAAGGCTCGGGAGGAGAGAGACTCGGAAGGCAAGTATTGAAAGGAGATATTGAAGGGGATGATGAGAAACAGTGGCCTGAGCGAGCAGTGATTGTATTGGAGAGCCAGTGGGCATGAGTTGCTGGAGCCATCACAAGGGCGGAGAGCTGTGAGGGACTTTATGGCTTGTAGTGAGTCGCCTTTTAAAGCGGTCAGTAGTGATCCGTATGGGCGCATGGATGCAGAGGTGGATGGGTTGAGGGAATGGGTGGATGGGAAGTGGCCGATAGCAAGTGATGCAGGGAAAACAGCAGGGAGCGTTGCCTTGAAGCATTTCAGGCCTGGTCTGTGGCAAGACGTGAGAAACTTTCTGCTGGTTTATTTTGAGCAATGATTTGCAGTCAAAACCTATCAAGTGGCTTGATAATACAATAATGGTTCCTATGTAATGATTTCAGCTCATTTGATATGTGCACATGATATGCATGCCTCAGCGTACTCCACTGTTGCATGCGGATGTTCAATGTGCGTAAGAAATGGGTGCTTACATCCAACACAAGGGGGAGGGGGCAGAGACTGGAAGCAAGCAACATATACAAAAACCTTGTACATCAAGACTTGGCAAATCCTAGCTGCAAACCCATGAGAAGGAATTCCGAACAGGGAGCCCCACGGTGTGGCCCACACTCCATCAGCATGGCCGAGGGACTGAGGGACTAGATTTGTGCATGGGTATGTGATGAAGGATGTGCCATGGGCAGTGGCATGTGATGTGGATGTGCTCTGGCATGTATGAGGGATGTGCATGGGATGGGAATAGGGATTGGCATGAAAATTAATTCAAGGGATGGGCATGGGGATGACATGGGATGTGCATGGCATGGGACAAGGGATGGTAGGGGATGGTACTAGGGATGAGAAGGGGTGGGAACATGGATGGGCAAGGGGATGGGCCTACGGATGGGATGGGAAACTAAGGGTGGGATTGGAAGTAGGAATATGGATGAGCATTTGGATGGGACAGGGCATGGGATGGGATTGGGGAAGGGGATGGGAGTAGGGAAGGGCATGTACATGCACATGGAAACTAGGGATTGGGCGGGGATAGGATTAAAGCCAGGATCTCAAGTATTTGAACTGTTGCAGTTGGTGAATTAAGCTAGGCTATGATTGGTTAGCGAGGTAGAGAAGTGACAAGGGTTGAAACGATGATGCGAAGCAAACACAAATCGCAGGGTGCTTCCGAACCACCTAGGCATGGAAAATTGTGTTGGGTGCCGCAGCTAAAACTACCAGCAATGTGTTTCAGCTCCCGAAAAATCTCATGTACCAGCAATGTGTTTCAGCTCCCGAAAAATCTCATGTACCAGCAATGTGTTTCAGCTCCCGAAAAATCTCATGTACCAGCAATGTGTTTAGCTCCCGAAAAATCTCATGTACACAGCAATGTGTTTCAGCTCCAAACATCTCATGTACCAGCAATGTGTTTCAGCTCCCGAAAAATCTCATGTACCAGCAATG